ACAGCACAAAAGTATTCACGCTGCACAGAAGAACGCCTCAGATCAGCCAGTGGATCCCTGCAGAGAAATAGCAAACACAGATCTGAAGGATGCGGTCTCCAGGGAGGATTTCTAAATCCTTACTTCGTGTCACTAATTCCTTGTTATCCAGAGCTGGAAGAGAGAGGACTCCTGGAACGGATTCAGATGCTCCTGTTACTTTTTACTGCTTTGGAAACGAAGGAAGAGAGAAGAAAATTGACGGTGGTTCTGCGGAGAGAAATTTAAGAGCAAAATCGTGTTATTCACTGTGATCTGAATGTAGACAGTTCTAATTCTTTACTAAATTACTGATCTGAAGGTTGCTAATGAGCTTAAACAGCAAATAACCCAAGGGAGCAGCTTGTCAGGATGGGAAGGAAAGGTTACACGCTGATGAATCTCTGGAGATCCTCCTGACAGGGAGAGGTCTCAGCTGGGGACACTTCGCAGAGGGCACAGGAGAAGACGAGCCACCCTGAGCCCTTAAAACACTGGGCACAGCACCGACAAACATAAATGGAAGAGAACAAGGAAATCAGGCACTTTCAAGGGAGAGGTATTTTTATTTTTATGTGCAGGCTTGCACACCTACTGCTTCTGCTTCAGAGTTATGGCCAAGACCTCCTTTCAGCTCATTCAGCTCTGAAGTCAGCTTCATGGACTCCTGCTGTATCCTCAAAACACCAACACGACCACTCTGTAGGATGATAGAGAAATTCCAAAGAAAATTAATTACTTGCTTCCACACTCCAGTAATCACCACCAAAAGGAGAGTTGGACAGCATCAGCCAGAGACAGCGTAGGCCAGCAAATGCTGTTGTGTTTTCTGAGATGCCTCAGTGATTCAAATGCTCTGGCCAAATAAAAGCAGTTTAATTTAGACTATCAACAGTAGCATTAAGGAAAGACACATCCATATTTTGGGCCTGAGCTGCCCATGTCCCTCCTTTTCTCACCCTGTCCTCCTTCCCAGCTGCTACGTGGTGTCTAACTGAAATATGAGGAATAGCAGAACAGACCACAGCTTAGATTAGATATTTCCAAAGTGGTTTGAGGACAGTTGACCATTACTCACTTGCAACACGCAGTAAATGGAGATGAAGCTTAAATACAAGGCTTTTCTACCCAGAAGATATGAATCTCATATGTGTACACAGAAGAAATAACAATTGCGTTTCACACAAGCTAAGAATTTGGTTCCCAGGAACAAAACAACCAACCTATGGTTACAAACACCTCATCAGCTTCTTGGAGCTCTACCTCCTCAGCAGCAGTGCTGGAGTAATAACATATCTGTATCTTGCTGCCCACAGTCAACAGGCGATGTATGCTGCTGAAGCCGCCAGGCTCTGACACCAGTTTTACCACATGGAGAGACCACTTTGGATGGGCTGAACATCTCTCCTGTCACTTGCAGCACTTCTCTCTTTCTTCACATGACCCCCATGTCTTTGCCAACGTCTTGAAGCACTGTTTCTCAATAGAAACCTGAGGTTCATACCAAGGCCTCCATGTACACTAGATTGCACAAAATACCTCCAAGACTGCCCCAGTTTTGTCTGAAGTCAATATCAACCTCAGTTCTTTGTTTTTCTCCTTAGTTCTTCTTTATGTATCTAAAAAATACTGAATGAGGCTCTGAAGCCGTCTCTACCACAGTTTAGTCCCTTCAGTTTCCAAAGCAAAAGTAGTTTTTCCTGATGGTTAACATTAAAAAAATACTGAGACTGTTGGTCTGTTGGGATTTCCTGAGGATATTTTCTTCAAAAAATTCTTTCCAGGATTGTCTTTAAAGCTTTCCTGAAAGTTGTGAAGCAATTTGTTGATCTTCCAGAAATATATTATAAAAAAAAGTTAGAAAAACTCTAGCAGTCATTCTGGAGCTTTTGTTAGGAAAAAAAGAATCAAAATCTGTTTCTGTTTTAGCAAGAAACAACTTTGCTGTTCTTGCATAAAGCTGTGATGAAATACGTTGTAGGACCATGCCATCATGAAATATGAATATTACCTTTGTTAAACTCTTCAGCACACAGCTGAGTCTGATGAAACTATTCCAGAGGGAGACACTTGTCACAGAAGGAGTCTTGTCTCACTGTCATGAACTTGGCTCAGCATTATTTAACTGGTGATTCATTATTTTGCACATTATTTTGAACACCAGTCATGCACGAGGACCCCCCCTATACTGTGCACAGCATGAACATGGCACAAAAAGGTGCTTTCTGCTCCCAAAAGCTCCTAGTCCTTGTAGGGGACTGGGGAGGCAGATGGAGGTACACAGACATACAGACAAATGGGGGATGAGATTAAAGGAACCAGCCAGGACACGCTGTCAAACTTTTAGTAACCATCACAGCTAGGGAGACATTTAAGTGGGACCATGTCTCCATGATATTCATATTCTAACAAAAGTTTGTAAGTGTTCCATGCCCATTCCCTACTCTACTATCCCCAGCGAGATCTGATGTGGGAAAAGGAGAATACTGAAATAGAAAGGCTATTTCGGGCTGCGAGTGGTGCAGGGCCCCTGGGGATCCTCAGGAGAAGCTCCACAGCAAGTTTGTATGAGGGGAGAGGGTCAGCCTCTGAGCTATCTGCCAAAAAGCTGGAGAAGCCTGAAGGTGCCTTGTCCACTTCTAGGAGGAAATGGTGGGAAGCAAAAATATATGGAGAGTTGGCTTTTTATTTTTACCTTGCTCACCAGATGCATTTTAAAAAAAATGATCGCAGGCTGCCGGGAAGAGCTGCTCTCCTCCACTTGCAAGTTTTTCTCCACCTTCATCTGAAGTGGGAGAAGTGGGTGAGCAGGGCTACAAGCTTTCCCGCCCTACACATCTTCAGTTTCCCAAGCTCTTCTTTCCCAGCAGGAGCTGTGCACAGTCCCCTGCTCTACTGGGACCCTCGTGTTCCCAGTGCCCTACCAGCCACCTCTTCACCCCCCCAAAGCCCTGGGTGCTGCCAGAGCGCACCCCGGGGCCCGGGGAGGGCTGGCAGCAGCTGCTCCCTCCCCCGGGCTGTGCTTGCCCTTTGCATCTCTGCTCTTCTACATCTCCCCTCTTTGCACTCTCCCGTCCTGGCCACTTCTTTCCTTTGCATCCCTCCTCTTTGCAACTCTGCCTTTGCATCCCTCCCCTTTGTATCCCTCCCTTTTCACCTCCCCTTTTGCACCTCTCTCATTTACATCCCTCCCCTTTGCCTCTCTGCCCCCTTCGCATCTCTCTGCCTTTTCCCATCCCTCCCCTTCGCATCTCTGCTCCTCGCCTCTCTGCCCCTCTGCACCCCCTGCCCCTCTGCCCCCTCGACCCTTTGCCTCGTTGCACCGCTGCCTGCTTGGATCACAGCCCTTTGGGAATCTG